ATCTGTGAGTTAGCCATGCCCTGACTTAGATCAACCCAGAGGTTGTTTCAGGGTTCGATCTGTGAGTTAGCCATGCCCTGACTTAGATCAGCCCAGAGGTTGTTTCAGGGTTTGATCTGTGAGTTAGATATCCCCTGACTTAGATCAGCCCATAGATTGTTTCAGGGTTCAATCTGTGAGTTAGCCATGCCCTGACTTAGGTCAGCCCAGAGGTTGTTTCAGGGTCCAATATGAAAGTCTTTTTTAGCAGAGAGTCATGCATGTAATATACCAAACAAAGAAGCCATCCTACCCTTAAGACTGACAGTATGCTCTTCACTATCCTTGGATGACGAGGCCAGTAGGCGATGTAACCACTTGGATGGGTTATTCTCATTCTCGTCTGTCATCTGAACAAAATCTTGAACAACCTGTGATTGGGAAACAGACTTTTAGATGGAAGCCTAAGAGCTCGTAATCAGAAAACTAGAGGGGTGGGGGTGGGGGAAGTCAAGAAGCACTACCTCTTGCTGCATAAATGTGGTTATTAATTGTGGTCATAGGTTTGATATTCTGACCTGTGATCACATGTGATTAGAGTTGCTTGTTGGTTCTCTCCTGTGCTTTGGGGGTTTTTCTTGTAAATTAAACAAGGAATATTTTTTTAATGAAAAAAAACAAAACATCTGAATTACCCATAACAATGGTGGGAATTTCAGCAGATCATGGTTGAACTCATCTGTCCATTTGGCTTTAGACATTTGGGACTTGAGAGCAAAAAGCTGTAGAGGTTATAACACTTTAATTAGACAGTAGTATTAGAGGACCTGATGTCTTTACTAAACCTTAGTTGGCTCGGTTGGGCACCAGTCAACAATAGATTTTCACCACATAGCCTCACATTCAAACATTCAGTAGGTTTACATGGGCAAAAAAAAAATTGTGGCATGGAAATGCACATGGTACCTTATCATCAAAAAGATCGCTAATTGATTGTCCTGCTGCCTGCCTGCCTCACCCACCCCACTCTAGCAACTAACCTGATACATTCCTTATTGTCTACCCCATATCCACCATCCTTAGGAACCCAGGGGTAAAATTCTGTCGCTTGTTAACTGCAATTTTCATAAACATTCAAACTCTGTGTCTGCGAGCTGCACGCTGAAATTTGTTTTTTTCCTCTCTGCCATCAATCAAACCTAATCAGTTGTTAACTTTCATATTTTTGAAAGGCGGCAGCGAAAAACCAAATTTCAGCGTGCAGCTTGCAGACACAGAGCTAGAACGTTTATGAAAATTGCAGCAAAGTAACTATGAACTTACTTGGGTTCGCCTGGCCAAAAGCTCAAGGTAATCAATGTCGCCCTGGTCAATTATCTAAGAACAAATATTATTACAAACACTTTCTATAAATCAAATTTTGAAAGTCCAACTTTCGATATTCTGATTGAGTGATCAAGCAAGTTTAGGGTAGAGATGTGCCCTGTTCTGGTATTGCAAAAATGGATACCCTGTTCCAGTGAGGAGAGAGTGTGATTTCATATACCCTGTCCCAGAGTAGAATCACTGAAACCCTGTTTGGCGGCATGTACCCGTATAGGGAATATAGGAGAGTACCCCCGCCGGGGTCAAGTCCCTGATGAACTTCATGGTAAAACTGTAAGTTCTAGGAAACATGCGTTGCCCCTAGCCTCTCCACTGTGATCGATATTAGACCCTTGTTTATCATTCTAACATGAACTTGCATGTGTATGATAACTAGAAATAAACCCAGGTTTATGTGCCAGAGGGGAGGGGTAGGGGGAATATTTCTGATACTACATACTTTAAATTTGTAATGATGTGATTTGAAATCATATGAGAAATGAATTGTACACACCTTGACTGAGTTGTAAATAAGAAATGAGCTTAGAAGGGTTGCAACTGCAAAAACTTTTGCATCATAAGTTTCCGACACATTGGTGGCTGCAAAACCTAAAGGAAAATAAGGGAAATATCAATAGATAAATATTTTAAATTGAAATAAATAGCTTTGTGCAAATATCAAAAAAAGTACTTTTACCTTCGGTATCAAGGAAAATAAGTGCAACTTGTTGTCCATCACTAGTCTTCATCCTGATTGGCTAAAAAAATATGAATATAGTTATTGATAATTTACATCAAAGTCCAGCTGGGTACGTACATTGGGTAGTTTCAAAAGTGCCCATATCTCCTCCCAGAAGAAGGAATTTCCAATAGTGCAGGGAAGATCTGAGAGGGGGTATATTGTGTAGTTCCATAAAATCCTCACCCCCACACGGAGGGGATATTTAGAATAATTTTCCAAGGTGTGGAGAGTATAAAAAGGGTATATGACATAGTTGAAGTAAAATCTCTATACCTCCCCAATGGAAAGCACCTGAATTTCCAAGTGGAGAAGTGTCTATATCTATATCGTGGAACTACACAAATAGTTCAGTAGAGATAACTAGCTAAAAACTAGTGTGAGCTGCGTCAGTGTTTCTAATGAAACAGTAATGATAAATTGGGTTAATCATACACTGTGAAAAGATAAAAAAACATACTGACGTTTCGGATGCCAATCCTTTGTCGGGTTAAAATAGTTCAGTAGGTAATCTCACCTTTCCCCACATCCATATTCCCATTGTCTCTGGCCTGACGTAAGGACCTACTCCAAACCCAGCTTTCTTGCCCATCAGCTGGTTAAGCAGAAAGGATTTGCCAGTGTGGAACTTGCCAACTACTGCTACGGTTGCTACTGGTTCTACAAGAAATAGAAATACAGACTTCTGGAAGAAATACACAAAGGTTTCAGGGTGGGGATGAGGGACACACAAGGAGTTGTGGGGGGAGGGGTGGGGAGAGCATGTTTTAAGTTTTAATTTAATCTATGTCTTTTATTGGATATTCAAAATGTGTCTTTACCCCTACTAACATTCACACACTTAAGTACCTTTGATTATTTGTGCCATACAACATTGAAAGAGCATAAAGATTTTCACTATCAGAGAATCAGAAAACGTACCCCTTGAGGCAAGGGAGAGAACAAGGCATTAAGTAACAGTGCTCAAGTCATTCAAGAAAGAAGTTTATCGAGCCTGGATGAGAGCAGTGTGAGAGGTGAATACTGATGATCTTGCCAGCCCTCACCCCCCCTCCCCATCCCCCTAAGATATGGCACTCTTTGCAAAGCATAGTCACCTGCATATAGACCCCTTGCAACTAGTTGGAATGCAGCTCAATTTCAAGTACATAACAATAGGTTTGCAATTCTCATGAGATTGAAATTCTTTTGTTTTGTCCTCCAAATTGAGCTGCTTTGACGTCACATGCAAGGGGTCTATGTAGATGAACCTTTGATTATAGTAAAATACCTTGTATATACTGCAGAAATTTAATATTTTCTTCATGCAAAACAAGTTTTTTATGTGAACCCTTATCTGGATAAACCAGTTGAACAGGTCTGTCCAAATTCTCAAAAGGATTTCCCCATAAATGATCTCTCTGTTTTTCCGAATGGCTCGGTCTTGGAATCTTTTCTTTCTGCTTTGATTTTTCTATATTTTCCTTTTCATCTGAAGGGGTCCTTTTATCTTCATAAACTCCAGAGACTGGTAATTTTTCTTTGTGATCTTGCAAACAAAGTCCTTTTCCTTCGCACTTGTGTTCTTCGTCGGTCGAAGACACCACTGCAAATTATTCATCGTTTATTATGAATAATAAAATAAATATCAAAAAAAAAAAAAACAGAAACAGAAATTAAACGTAGCTAAACATACGCAGCAAAGTTATACATATAAAGGTACGAATATTATTTGAAAAAATTTTGAGATCAGTTGGTTTAAAAGTTGAAGAACTAAGGCTAAATTAAAACGCAAACATATTTGTACACAAAAATGTCAAAATCAACAATACAAAAACATGAAAACCAAGCAAAAACCTACCTAATGTCATTTGATAAGATACAATAAGAATTGTAGCGAAGAAAAGAGCTGTGATCGTGAGCATTTTTGCTCGGATGTTCTTGATTTTTGCGAAGATAATGTGGAGGAATTTTTGCTTCTTATTCAAAGTTCGAATTTCGTACGCAAAATCAAAGGTATGATTTTAGTGGCTATCTCATAAGCCAATGAAAATGCTTCTAATATGAGTTACGCTTATGAATTATTTTAACCGCATTTTTTTCAATTCTTTTAAAAAACTTAAAAGTTTTAAAGGAATTAAACTTCAGATAAACAACTTCAATATATTTTCTATTAGTTTTGTAAAAAGAAATTTTTTTACAACTTTTCGAAATTTCAAAGAAGTACTAGTTACCAGTTTTACTCGGTCTTGCAGTTAATCCAAGATGGCGGACGAAGCGAGGAAGAAAATTTCAGCCAAACTTGAAGCTGTTCCTGATGTTGTTATAGACAGCCATGGACTATTCAAATACATCCTTATAGAAGTAAAGGATAGGAATGATGATAGTCTTTCTAAATTCGTCGTTAGAGGAAATGCGAAGGCAGATTATCACGGTAAGTTCTAAAGATGCGGTCAAACAAATAATATTTCTGTTTTTTTGAGAATATAAAACGTACCGTTAAATAAAGCTTATTTGTTACTGGAAACTCTATTGTTATTCATTATTCTATTTACAAGTACATTATTCAAAGAAATATTAACCCATACCTCTTTTTATCATTTAATATAAGCTAATGTTTAATCGTGTAATCAAACAAGCTATAATATATATTGTCTGGTTACTATTAATTCCTATTCTTGGTTTGCAATCTATCCCAAGAGAGCACAATAACAAAAGGGATGTCCGCCATGTTGGAAGATATAACAAAAGAATTCATTGAAAAATCTTTTGTCAAATTCTTCCAACATGGTGGCTACGACGTCTATTGCAAACGAAGAATACATATTGGATAATATAATGTTTACAAATGTGTACATTGGTAAGTGAGAATAAGTGGTCATTAAAGCATGTTACACAGTTATTGGGTGAAGCTGGGTATGCGTAAAGAATTATGCAGACTGAGGTGGGTGTTTCCTTCTTAACCCCCCTTTCCCCTCGGCCATATCGTTGTGTACAGGAATTGTTAGGGAATTCTATTAGGTAAATATATATTGAGGTGATGTCATATTTTTCGAGGATTCTGTGCTTTGGAGTTTCTTTTGTTTCATTTTTAGCACAAGCACAACATTGAATTCCTTTGCACCATGCATGAATTAGTCGTGCTTGGCTGCCCTGTGAAATCTTCCCAAAGAATAGTGAGGGTGCGATCACATAGAGCAATTTTCTCTGCAACTTGTCTGGCAACAAATTGCTCTGTGTAATCGCACCCTTACCTACATACTTCATCAATGATTAATTATCAAGTGTATTTGCATTAAATGTCATTTGTTATATTTTTAGCTGATATATTAGAAGAGGTACAACCAGGAATCGACGGTCTTGGGTTATCAGCAGTGTGCGTTGGTGGTGGCAGAATAGAACATAACTCTGCTGAAAAACGGATTTTAGTATATGGTTATTCAATGGTAAATACTTCCTTCTACATTAATAGACCATTTTCGAGTTTCAAATTACTGCTGTGTTCCTTGATCACAGACTCATATATACAGTGTTAGCCTCGTATCAGTGTTTAATTATTCAAAAAATACCAATGATAAAGTAAAAATTGGAAAACTTCAACAATACAAACACTTTGAAATTTGACGGACCTTGACTGGAAAACGTAACTATCCTGCACAACATTGAGGATAACCCTGTGTAAATGAGTCTGTAATCAAGAAACACAGCAGTAATTTGACTCCTCCCCTCCCCCCACAAGACATAGGTTTCATTATCACTTACAATAAATAAAATTTAAAATGTGAACCGATAACAGTGGTTTCACTGGGTGGCTCCTCTACTGGGTGGTTTTTCTACTAGAATTTAGAAGTTAAAACCCATGACCCAAAGCACTAATATAAGAAATAAGCCCAGGGTTCGTGCTACTCCTTAAACTCCTTGAAAACTCCTTGAATTGAATTCACGTTTTCAAGGGCACTTGAAAAGCTCTTGAATTTTATGATTTTAGTGAAACTCCTTGAAAACTTGAATTTTTGCTTTGATCATTACTTGCAAGGTTCTGAAATAGATCTAGTCAGAAAGATTGAAAAATCTGAAAGTCGGCCATGTGCAACCAGTGTGTAAAACCTTGGCATAGTTAGCTGAACATACTCCTTGCAAATTCATTTTTGGGTCCTTGTATACTCCTTGAATAGTCCTTGAATATTAAGTGGTTAACTAAGCACGAACCCTGTAAGCCAGTATTGTCTTTGTTTTTCCAGGGGTTTGGACGTGCTAACCACTCTATTACAGTTGAGAAACTCAAAAAGGATTATCCTAACTACAAGATCACTTACACTAATGATGGATACTGATGTCAGTGAGCACATAATCTTAATAATGAACAGTAGTTATGTAGTAATTAACAATTAATTGCCAGAAGCAAAGTGAATATCAAAAATACCAAAGTGAGACACGAGTCTTTGAGCGGCAAGGTAATTATTCCTTGATATTCACTAAGCCTGAGGTGAATAGCTGCTTTAATATTTTTAACACAAGTGAATTTTTGTTTTTTCCAATTTTATTTATCTCAGCAAGCAGCACGCATCGACAAACGAGCGTGTGCGTGTGAGTTGTATTCAACTGTAGGTGTCTATTTTATATTATATTCACTTGTAGGTGAATATAACAGCATAAGATGTAAATTGTGACCAATGGGTGCACAGAATTCATTACATTCACTTGTGCAAAAATATTATAGTTGTACTTGACATCTCTTCCTTGAAAAAAAAGTGTCGAGTATCTACTATAGTGAGGGCAAGGAAAAAGTGTTAAGAGAATGAAATAAGAAACAATAGTAGATATACCCACCTAAATTAACATATTAAGATTCAAGAAGAGATAACTAGCTAAAAACTAGTGTGAGCTGCGTCGGTGTTTCTAATGAAACAGTACAGAAACATTTATTCATCAGTTGGACAGAATGTGAGCACACAGCATGTGCGCACACACTTTCAGTTGTATCATTCCTATCTAAAATAACGGTAATTTGAATTTTATAAAAGAATTTAAAAACTTGCTTGCTGTGGTGTGTGAAGTCATGAAGCACTTAGGGATTGGTAAAACACTCGAGAAGTGTTGAGAAGCACTCTGCTATGTGTCATGCTTCTCCTAACACTTTTCTCGCCAACTCCCAAGTGCTTTATAGCTGCACAAAACACGCCCGCATTTTCTTAAATTTAAACTAACAGCAACTAAAGACAACTAAAATAATGATGTATGTGTTAATGAAAATACTTTTATCTCCAACTTCTGTTCGTACAATGACTTTGCGCAACTGACAGACTTTTTACCTTGGACGTAATCAGTTTTTTCTCATTTTAAACCATGCTATACAAAAATAATGATTTTTTTTAGAGTTGTATCCATATTCATGTATCTTCTTAGCCGTGAAACAAGGAAATGATACTCTAGGGAATGGCACGTGGTCTGAAATGGGAAAACATTACGCCCATGCTGAAAAGGTCTATTTAATGAGGGTTTTTCACAACACACCTTATCCTCAAACTTTATTGCTAAGAAAGTTTCTTGAAGCAAAGTATTTTACAATGCGTATTTGTTTCTAATACTTGTCTGGCGACACATTTGTTTTTGGGGAGGGGAGGGGAGGGGAAATATGTCGAGGTCGATGGGGAGTAACATCTTGTAAGTTTGAAGTAATTTCAGTATTTTTCCATGTAACATCAAGGTATTTTGATATGTATCTAGAGAGAACGAAAATGTCAGGATTTGTCACTGGGGAACAATTAATTGACGCAAAACTAGATCTATGTAGTAAACTTTAAATTTGATGGCGATGCTATCGCAGTTCACGTTCAAAAACAAAGATTTGGTATCGCGTTGTCTGACCAACAATGGAATTCTTTCTTTTAAGAATTTTTAAAAAACACTATCTTTGACATCTTTTACTTATTACTGAGGACGTTGAAAGCCAGTTTCAAATTCTAAGATTTAATCTAGGGTCATTTTCCTTTGAAACGTGACTATTTATGCCAAACGCTGATGCAATTTTGACAATTAAGATATTTCGCGTGTAATTTCGATGTACGTTCATTATTTTCTTCAATTTACTGTATTTCTGACACTCCAATTACATAGCAAACAAATTCATTTCCTTTGGAAAGATCTGTTATATAAAATAAAGTTCCCTACGGAAAGCCTAGAGCAACTTTTTTTTTTCTAATTTGTCACTTTATCTGACCAAATTCTTTCACTCTTCGCCAATTCGACGGTAAAAATAGCTACAAACCCACTCAACTTTGAATAATCTTTTCGTGTTTCGAGTTTGAAAGTTTGCAAGGATATCATCAATATTTCAATTAGTCCTTTAGTTAGCTGTTTTTTGGGACCCAAACTGAGAACATTTCATAAACATTTTATGTAGCTATCGCCACATTTGTTTTACTTTTTCGTGGTCTTGCTTATAAATATGCATGAAACTGAAAGTGGCAGCTTATTGAATTATTGCAATGGTAATTTTTGAGCCGTTTATGTATGATCACTAATTGCAGTCTTTTTACTATTTAAAAACTCAAGCAGAGAGACGTTAAAAAGACTGAAGGAATTATAAAGAGTTCTTCTAAATTTTGATAAACAATGCCAACGCTTATCAACGCTTATCACAAGAGCACTTACATTCACGAAATGCATGACTACAATTCGACATAAATTTTTTCCAACTTGTTTACAAAAATATCATTGAAAATCATTACCTAATGAGCTCTTGAAATTTAAGCCTTCAATTCTTCACACAAGTCATAACATTCTCCCTGTTTTGATAAATTTTCAAAACTCTAACTTTCCAATACTCTGATACATTTGCTGTCATTGTTTTGTGTGCAGGARATTAAGTCATAAATTTGTTGAAAGATAAAACTGCTAGACTTCATTTTTCTAGATGAATATGACTAATGGTAGGAAGTATATTTTATGACTCATAGTCTATGAATAAGCGACAGTCATTACACTCGGATAATCATCTCCCAAACCCCTCACTTTCTCATACATAGTAATGAATGAGTCACGGGCGTTTTTTGAAACTTTTTAGGATAATATTCCAAAAGTTTGTCATTTCTTAGAAGTTTCCTTCCTTCAGAACTCTATTAACTATGTTTAGACATAACATATCATTTGCGTTTTCTTTTGAAATGGCGAATTTAAAGTCAAATTTAAAGTGGTCAATTTAGTTCAGAAACTTTATCTTGCATACTTGTGTCGTTTTTACAGTTCTACTAGAAATTCTTATAAAATAGATTATTTCATTTCGTTTCCATAGTTCGAGTATTCAAGTCGATACACACACACATACTCATGCAACAACTCCAATCTATAGTTGTATCTTTTTATTATGGCTTTATTAAGGCCGGTTTAGACGGTACGATTTTCGTCTACAACTATCGTATACAACACGCTCGCGTCTGTCGTAGGCGAGTTGTAGGCTTGATTTACACGCTACGACTCGAGTTGTAGGATGGCGCGAGCGTGTTGTATACGATAGTTGTAGGCGAAAATCGTACCGTCTAAATCGGTCTTTAGATACACGTACAGAGTATGAATGCATCGAGTATTATTTCACCCGCCCGAACGGTCCTCTTTTCATATTCACTCTAATCACCCTCGCTTCCTGGCCATATCGCTTATAATTCTCTTTTCGATTTCTTCGAACGATATTAATTGAAATTTAATGAACTTTTTTTTTAGGCAATTGCAGAGCGTTTTTCGTAACTGGTGGCCTTAACTTATCTTACCGTAGCCATAACTACGCGTTTTGATTGGATGGATTACTGGAAGGCAATGGAAAGCCATTTCAGTGTTACCACAGCAGTAGCTTACATGCTGTAAATCACAGTAATTAATGTTTCCAATAACCACTTTATAACTTTCATGTCATGTAGCGGTCGTTTCGTTTAAGTCAAAAACATACGGTATCTACTTGCAGCACGTACACGGTGCAACATGCCCGATAACATTGAAGTGGCTTACCATTGTCTTCTCCGCGTAATCCAACAAATAACAACGCGTAGTTACGGTAAACTGGTTTGGCTACAGTACGACAACTAACTACATGACGTATCCGGCGTTTTCCATTGAAAACCGCTCTAAACTAGAAACTCTCCCAAAATAACCCCTTTGTTGTAGCATATGTTTGAAAAAAGAAAAAAAAGTACCATCACCAGTATCATTTTTTTTTTTTTTTTTTTTTTTTAAATCCATTTACAATTTAAAAATTCCTGATTGATAGCGCACTCGCTAGAATTAACGAAGTAACACTTTTTCTCTCTTGAGAAAGTCGAGGGTATTTTACTCTAAAAGGATCGACGAGACAAACCCTACCTATTTATAAAGAGCGTCATTGTTTTGTAATAAGATATTAGCCAAATATTGCATGAAACAGGAGATTTTTTCAAGTGAAAACATTGATTAAAAATAGAGCCAGGAGGTAAAACAAGACTTGAAGTCTAGATATGACACATGAATAACAATTTCGGGTATATTTTTATGAGAATGAACGAATATTCTTTGAGAAAAACATATTTTCACTTTGCTGCTTGAGCTCTGAATGATAGGAAGCCATTTTGATGTACGTTCCTTTAAGTCAAAATTCTTAAAATAAAACTCAGGTTTACTTCAGGTATTTTTGAGAATCCCTTTTTCACGCCGTTTTGCCATATAAATCAAGGCAAAATAGAATGTTCACAAAATAATGATTTTTCAAGACAGTTTTTGTCTAAATATTTGGCTTCAATCTCAACACGAGAAACAATCTGACGCGAGTACAAAAGACGGAAAAAAATAACCCCTTTTTATGAATACCAAGAGGATTATATTTTTAAATAAAAAAAGACTTTAAAAAGTCTAGACGTTACAGCGCCTATCTTTTTCTGGTTTAGTTTATTTCGCACTCTTAAAAAAGTATAGGACTCCGCGATTCAGTGTTATTAATGTCGAGTTTTAATGTTGGTTTTATCCAATATTGGACCAAATCAAGGCCCATATTGACCTGTGTGGGGAAAATATTGAAAAGAAAAGATGAAAATCTCTTGAAAAGAGACAGATTTCTCACAGCTATAACAAGAAGAGCACCGAATATCTTCTCTGAATGTACTACGAGAGGCTAGAGATTCTTACGTTTTTCAACCTTTGACCAAACCATCTAGGTTGAGAGATTTCGATGAATGATTCATAGACCACCACTAATATAAATACATAAACCACGCGTTTGATTCAAAAATATATGCATATAACATCACCGAAAACCGCTTTTATCAAACTTAAAATGATAACTCTGTGATTATATCTCAGAAACGCCACGTTTTTGGATTCGATATCTCATATTTAGATATGCGACTATTTTTGACACGCGGCCTTCCAGCCCCGCTTCATTTATGACTGAGTAGCTGACCCGTCAAGTGGCTCGCTTAAGTCTCATTATTTTTTTTTTTCAATTAAAAATTCCTAAATATACGTTGCGCTCGTATTCAATAGGAATTAATCTTTAATATTTCTTAAATAACTAAACAGGTTCTCCTGAATTCATCATCATTGTTACCGCCAACTTTAAAGGCCGTAATCTCCATGACAACCGGAAAGCCTGTAGGTGTTTGTCACTGTTTTCATTTACATGACACGGCTCAGTAAAGCTTGGTGTTCGTGTTCGCCTAACGCGATATTGATCCGGGGAAAATGACTCTTGCCACAGTTGAAGAATTCCAGTAGAAAGAGAACTGGGATGGGAAAGAAAAACAGTAAACTTGAGCCCGATTTGATTCAAGAATTGGTCCATAAAACGTACTGTAAGTGGCTCTCTATGGCTATGTAGAGTACGTGTAATTTAGGCTAATCACGATGTGTTTGCATTCGGTCGCATACAGAACTAAATTTAGTAGCTAGATAGTTTATTCCAGATATTACCTGTCTATTTGATAGTCCTAATTTATCAACATTTTGTATTCTATTTTATCTTCAGTTACTGAAAAAGAGCTTCAACAATGGTAGGTTGTGCTACGTTCTTTTCTTTGACTACGACCCCTAAAGAAAAACCATGTACCACTCGAGCTTGTGCTAGCTGCTCACACAATATATCTTATAAATAACTGTAGCCACAATACAAGTTATCCTTACTTTCAATTTTTATTAACTTTGTACAAACCAGGTATAAAGGATTCCTTAAAGATTGTCCTTCTGGCTGTCTGACAGAACAGGTAAGTCTTCATTTGGCATTAAGTTGTTTTGCATATTTGTACTAGGAAGTCGTGGTGCTCAAATTGATGCAATGCTTCGGCCTATTTAACTCATTTGTTTACGGTAATTAACCCAGCAGATTTCTAAACAAAATCTTAGGAAATAATGAATAAACCTAGGCCGTAGAGTCGGCAAAAGAATCTTGAGTCTTCTAGTAATGATATATATATGAAAAAAAGCGAGTGAGTTCTCTTAATCTGTTCAATTGGAAGACAAACTATTTACGTAATTAAATTAAATTATTTATATTTCTATATATCTATTTACTGTTTTTCAGGAATTCCAGAAAATCTATAAGCAGTTTTTTCCATATGGGGATTCTTCGAAATTTGCGTCATTCGTCTTTAATGTTTTTGACGAAAACAAGGTATCAGTATTTCTATCACGCGAGGAAAACGCTTTTATGCCCTCAACATACTTCTGTCTTTAGAAATGCTTTTGTTTCTACATTTGTGGCTTTACAAAGAAAAGAGAAAAACGGTCTTGTTGTTGCTTCCAACTGTTTGGGAAATCTCTGAATTTTTTAAAGATGGTGATTTTTTGTTTTGTTTTTTGTTTCGCGTTCAAAATAAAACACGAAGAATAAATACAAGAAATAATAATTAATGTTTTTTTTGTATTTAAATCACTTCAGTTTTGTTTTTAAATGATGTTTTTTGGCCCTAAGTTGATAAAACGACCCAACGGCCCATGAAAAACGAAACTCGGCTAGTTTTGAGCGATAACAGTATTTTTGATCACTTTAAATTTATGTCGTAAATTGTCAAAATCTATTTTTATGTTGAATGAGAAAAACTTGATATTTACGAGGGGAAAATATGAATTTATTAATTAAATAACTGAGATTATCAGACGAACCAGATAGAAAATAAAAATAAAGGTTATCGTTTTTCATACCGGTAAATGTTATGAGAAATTGAAGACCAACACTTAATACTTGCAATGCTACTTGTGGGAAGACTTTTATAAAGATAATCATAATATCATAAAGCATTTTGGGCCTTGAAAAAGAATGGCAATTCATTATGTAATGTCAAGTGCGAGTCTCATTCAATTTATAAAATATAGTATGTGGTTTTGAGCGCGAAAACCAAGCATTCTTGATGAAGATTTGAATATGAATAATCGAAAACCATCCTGCGTCAAAGGCGTGTTGGTGAACAGTTGTTAATTTTTTTTTTTCAGGAATGTTTTCATATACCTTCAAAACCCATTTAAATTAATAAAAAAAACTTTAATATCTATACAAACCAAGATTTTTCTTTTTTAGGATGGACATATTGAATTTAGGGAGTTTATCTGTGCCTTATCTGTGACGTCGCGAGGAAGTATCGACGAGAAACTCCAGTGTAAGTTGAGTTCCGCTTTTTAGTGAACTGTTTCCACAAAAATAAACTAGTTTGCTATTTTTGTGTGATGTGG